ATCAAGCTTTTTATCTAAACAACAAAAGATTATAAATGAAAATCAAACTGTTGACTTTCGTCAATGTAGGAGAAACTGGGTAAATCACACTATTGACCTTTTAAATGTAAGACCAACGGGGAATCTAACTGTTGACCTTTACAATGTAGGACCAAGGGGGACTCTCAACAGTTGCCCTTTACAATGTAGGACCAAGGGGGAATCTTAACAGTTGACCTTTACAATGTAGGACCAGGGGGGATCCAACTGTTGACCATTACAATGAATGACCAAGGTGGAATCTTAACTGCTGACCTTTACAATGTAGGACCAAGGGGGATCCAACTGTTGACCATTACAATTAATGACCAAGGGGGAATCTTAACTGCTGACCTTTACAATGTAGGACCAAGGGGGATCCAACTGTTGACCATTACAATGAATGACCAAGGGGGAATCTTAACTGCTGACCTTTACAATGTAGGACCAAGGGGGACTCTCAACAGTTGCCCTTTACAATGTAGGACCAAGGGGGAATCTAACTGCTGACCTTTACAATGTAGGACCAAGGGGGAATCTTAACAGTTGACCTTTACAATGTAGGACCAAGGGGGATCCAACTGTTGACCATTACAATGAATGACCAAGGGGGAATCTTAACTGCTGACCTTTACAATGTAGGACCAAGGGGGAATCTAACGGTTGACCTTTTAAATGTAGGCCCAAGGGGGAACCTACCGGTGACCTTTTAAATGAAGGGACCAAGGGGGATCAAACTGTTGACCATTACAATTAATGACCAAGGGGGAATCTTAACTGCTGCCCTTTACAATGTAGAACGTAGGGGGAATTACACTATTGACCTTTACAATGAAGGACCAAGGGGGAATCTTAACAGTTGACCTTTACAATGTAGGACCAGGGGCGAATCTAACTGTTGACCTTTACAATGTAGGACGTAGGGGGAATTACACTATTGACCTTTACAATGTAGGACCAAGGGCGAATCTAACTGTTGACCTTAACAATGTAGGACCAAGGGGGAATCTAACTGTTGACCTTTACAATGTAGGACCAAGGGGGAATCTAACTGCTGACCTTTACAATGTAGGACCAAGGGGGAATCTAACTGTTGACCTTTATAATGTAAGACCAATGGGGAATCTAACTGTTGACCTTTACAATGTAGGACCAAGGGGGAATCTAACTGTTGACTTTAACAATGTAGGGCCAAGGGGGAATCTAACTGTTGACCTTTACAATGTAGGACCAAGGGGGAATCTAACTTTTGACTTATATACATTGTGATGTAGGAGTAACAGTGTAAATTGAACTTTTGACCTATACAATGTAGGATTGGTTAGGTTCAATTTTTTTAACGTCCTATTAATAGCTAGGGTCATTTAAGGACGTACAACGAGGAAACTATCAGTTTGGGCTATGCAATGTAGGACATCTTCCTGTTGTATCTAGAGTTAATAACACGAAGTATATCTCACTATCATATGCAGTTTGATCTTGTGTCACGATCCGGAAAAAAATCAATACACAGCCCATATGTTACACCTGATGTTATAATCGCCGTTAACTGTTTACATTGCCCTGCAGTTGTCATGGTGATTATCGTTACAGCTCTACCGCGTCAATATGGACGCAGCAGAAACAAAACCTGAGTGTTTGACTTATCAGCATGTAAAATGATAACCGATAAAGATTATATGTCTTGTTGATAATTATATAAGAGCACTATAATGGTTGGGTTTTGTTTTCTTGGTAAAGATTATAAATATTTATAAATACTAACCAGTATAAAACCTTGAAATAGTGACTGTCTTTCATATATACAGTAAAAGATTGGTTTAACGCCTGTCGTATATAACTGGTGAAACGCCTGTTGTATATAATTGGTTAAACACCTGTTGCATATATTTACCAATATGTTATTTTATACCACTGTGTTATTTTATACCACTTTGTTATTTTATACCACTGTGTTATTTTATACCAATGTGTTATTCTATACCAATGTGTTATTTTATACCAATGTGCTATTTTATACCACTGTGTTATTCTATACCAATCTGTTATTTTAGTTAACTACATGTTGTTGTGAATTAATCAGCTGTATCGATTATTTTCCACGTGCTAAGAGGGTTTATTACATATTAAGTAGTTCGTGCTTAACTTAAAAATATAATAACCATTATCAATCCACCTATCACACTTCAATTTTATCAATCCGAAAACATATATTGTAAACATTTTCCGCCATGTCAGACAGGGTTGTCTACCTTTGGTTGATATTTTACTCTGCTAACCACAATAACAGGAAAAACGTCGATATATTTCACCGCTAACTCTTTGATGCAATGTTACTCGTTTACATTCAGTAAAACATAGATATGATGCCCTTCGTTTACACAGTTAATCCTAGATATAATGCCCTTCGTTTACACAGTTAAACCTAGATATGATGTCCTTGGTTTACACAGTAAAACCTAGATATGATTCCCTTCGTTTACACAGTTAAACCTAGATATGGGGCCCTTCGTTTACACAGTTAAACATAGATATGGTGCCCTTCGTTTCCACAGTTAATCCTCTTCGTTTACACAGTTAAACCTAGATATGATGCCCTTCGTTAATCAAATAAAACCTAGATATGGTGCACTTCGTTTACACAGTTAAACCTAAATATGATGTCCTTCGTTTACACAGTTAAACGTAGATATGGTGCCCTTCGTTTCCACAGTTAATCCTCTTCGTTTACACAGTTAAACCTAGATATGGTGCCCTTCGTTTACACAGTTAAACCTAAATATGATGTCCTTAGTTTACACAGTAAAACCTAGATATGGTGCCCTTCGTTTACACAGTTAAACCTAGATATGATGTCCTTAGTTTACACAGTAAAACCTAGATATGATGCCCTTCGTTTACACAGTTAAACCTAAATATGATGTCCTTCGTTTACACAGTTAAACCTAGATATGGTGCCCTTCGTTTACACAGTTAAACCTAGATATGATGTCCTTAGTTTACACAGTAAAACCTAGATATGATGCCCTTCGTTTACACAGTTAAACCTAGATATGGTGCCCTTCGTTTACACAGTTAAACCTAAATATGATGCCCTTCGTTTACACAGTAAAACCTAGATATGGTGCCCTTCGTTTACACAGTTAAACCTAGATATGGTGCCCTTCGTTTACACAGTAAAACCTAGATATGATGCCCTTCGTTAACACAATAAAACCTAGAAATGATGCCCTTCGTTTATACAGTAAAACCTAGATATGATTCCCTTCGTTTACACAGTTAAACCTAGATATGATGTCCTTCGTTTGCACAATAAAACCTCGACATAATGCCCTTCGTTTACACACTCAAACCTATATATGATGCCCCTCGTTTACACAGTTAAACCTATATATAATGCCCTTCGTTTACACAGTTAAACCTATATATGATGCCCTTCGTTTACACACTAAAACCTAGATATGATGCCCTTCGTTTATACAGTAAAACCTAGATATGATTCCCTTCGTTTCAACAGTAAAACCTAGATATAATGCCCTTCGTTTCCACAGTTAATCCTAGATATGATGCCCTTCGATTACACTGTAAAACCTAGATATGATGTCCTTAGTTAACACAGTTAAACCTAGATATGGTGCCCTTCGTTTACACAGTTAAACCTAGATATGATGCCCTTCGTTTACACAGTTAAACCTAGATATGATTCCCTTCGTTTCCACAGTAAAACCTAGATATAATGCCCTTCGTTTCCACAGTTAATCCTAGATATGATGCCCTTCGATTACACTGTAAAACCTAGATATGATGTCCTTAGTTTACACAGTTAAACCTAGATATGGTGCCCTTCGTTTACACAGTTAAACCTATATATGGTGCCCTTCGTTTACACAGTAAAACCTAGATATGGTGCCCTTCGTTTACACAGTAAATCCTAGATATGATGCCCTTCGTTAACACAATAAAACCTAGATATGGTGCCATTCGTTTACACAGTTAAACCTATATATGGTGCCCTTCGTTTACACAGTTAAACATAGATATGGTGCCCTTCGTTTACACAGTTAAACCTATATATGGTGCCCTTCGTTTACACAGTAAAACCTAGATATGGTGCCCTTCGTTTACACAGTTAAACCTATATATGGTGCCCTTCGTTTACACAGTTAAACATAGATATGGTGCCCTTCGTTTACACAGTTAAACCTAGATATGGTGCCCTTCGTTTACACAGTAAATTCTAGATATGATGCCCTTCGTTAACACAATAAAACCTAGATATGGTGCCCTTCGTTTACACAGTTAAACCTATATATGGTGCCCTTCGTTTACACAGTTAAACCTAGATATGATGCCCTTCGTTTACAAAGTAAAACCTAGATATGGTGCCCTTCGCTTACACAGTAAAACCTAGATATGGTGCCCTTCGTTTACACAGTAAATTCTAGATATGATGCCCTTCGTTGTCCCTATAAAACCTAGATATGATTCCCTTCGTTAACACAATAAAACCTAGATATGATGCCCTTCGTTTACACAGTAAAACCTAGATATGGTGCCCTTCGCTTACACAGTAAAACCTAGATATGGTGCCCTTCGTTTCTATACACTAAGCTTCAGTATACAACTATTTCCGTTTATATTCCGTAATACGTTTTGAAGCAGTGGCCCTCTATTATATACAGTAATACCAAGATATAATGTCCATCGTTCATAAACAGTATGATTTTTAAATATAATTCTTCTCATTTTAATTCATAAAATCGCGATATAATTTTCATTGTTTATATACGGTAAAACATCCATGTAACGCCCTTCGTCAATGAACAGTATATTGACAGTAGTCATTGATATAACGGCTGTCGTTTATAAATTAAAACCATCCTTTCCTTCCTCTAGTTCTAGATTTAAATGATGTCGGAATAACCGGCGCTACTTAATCCTATTACCTACTAATACTTAATATAAACTCTATTCTTTTGCAGTTGCTTGGTTTAGGAATCGCAGTTGCAGGACTTTACTTCAAGTTCGGCGAGGACTTACTTCAAGATGACATCAAAGATGCGCTGGACAAAATCGACCTTGATATGGTTGGTGGAGTGGACGTCTACACGATGCTCGACCAGCTGTCCAACATCTTCATCGTCGTCGGCTTCATCATCTTTGCCATCGGTTTCTTTGGATGTTGTGGAGCATGTTGTCAATGGAGATGGATGCTTGTGATCGTAAGTAGCACGTGATGTACTTCAAGAAGTTTGTATTAGTTATGGTTCTTCTTAAGCTTTCTTATAATACATGTTTCTTGTTTGGACCTTAAACCTAAAGTATAAATTTATCGTCCAAATGTGTGTAGTACAGTGTGATGACGTCTCTTTGACATTCAACTCAGGTTCAAGGTCAAACAAGTGTGAAATGTCATGTAAACTGCTGTAACTTTTAAACCGTTAAAGATAACCTGATGAATTCTAAAAACACATCCTCAACAAAAAGTGAACAATGCACTCTTATTAGCTCAATGTGACCTTAACCTCTAGGTCAAATTTCAAATCGGCGCACATGTTCAATTGAAAACAAACAACGACGAATCCAGGATATGAGATTTTAAACAGTTGCAAGTATCCTTCTGAAACATAAATGTAATAAATCACCAACATCTCCATTTTTAACGTTCTCGCGTTTAAGAAAGATGTTTGGAATGACGTCGTCGAAAATAGAATATAGTCCCTGTCATATAGGTAATAGAATATAGTCCCTGTCATATAGGTAATAAAATATAGTCCCTGTCACATAGGTAATATAATATAGTCCCTGTCATATAGGTAATAAAATATAGTCCCTGTCACATAGGTAATATAATATAGTCCCTGTCATATAGGTAATAGAATATAGTCTCTGTCATATAGGTAATAGAATATAGTCCCTGTCATATAGGTAATAGAATATAGTCCCTGTCATATAGGTAATAGAATATAGTCCCTGTCATATAGGTAATAGAATATAGTCCCTGTCATATAGGTAATAGAATATAGTCCCTGTCATATAGGTAATAGAATATAGTCCCTGTCATATAGGTAATAGAATATAGTCCCTGTCATATAGGTAATAGAATATAGTCCCTGTCATATAGGTAATAGAATATAGTCCCTGTCATATAGGTAATAGAATATAGTCCCTGTCATATAGGTAATAGAATATAGTCCCTGTCATATAGGTAATAGAATATAGTCCCTGTCATATAGGTAATAGAATATAGTCCCTGTCATATAGGTAATAGAATATAGTCCCTGTCATATAGGTAATAGAATATAGTCCCTGTCATATAGGTAATAGAATATAGTCCCTGTCATATAGGTAATAGAATATAGTCCCTGTCATATAGGTAATAGAATATAGTCCCTGTCATATAGGTAATAGAATATAGTCCCTGTCATATAGGTAATAGAATATAGTCCCTGTCATATAGGTAATAGAATATAGTCCCTGTCATATAGGTAATAGAATATAGTCCCTGTCATATAGGTAATAGAATATAGTCCCTGTCATATAGGTAATAGAATATAGTCCCTGTCATATAGGTAATAGAATATAGTCCCTGTCATATAGGTAATAGAATATAGTCCCTGTCATATAGGTAATAGAATATAGTCCCTGTCATATAGGTAATAGAATATAGTCCCTGTCATATAGGTAATAGAATATAGTCCCTGTCATATAGGTAATAGAATATAGTCCCTGTCATATAGGTAATAGAATATAGTCCCTGTCATATAGGTAATAGAATATAGTCCCTGTCATATAGGTAATAGAATATAGTCCCTGTCATATAGGTAATAGAATATAGTCCCTGTCATATAGGTAATAGAATATAGTCCCTGTCATATAGGTAATAGAATATAGTCCCTGTCATATAGGTAATAGAATATAGTCCCTGTCATATAGGTAATAGAATATAGTCCCTGTCATATAGGTAATAGAATATAGTCCCTGTCATATAGGTAATAGAATATAGTCCCTGTCATATAGGTAATAGAATATAGTCCCTGTCATATAGGTAATAGAATATAGTCCCTGTCATATAGGTAATAGAATATAGTCCCTGTCATATAGGTAATAGAATATAGTCCCTGTCATATAGGTAATAGAATATAGTCCCTGTCATATAGGTAATAGAATATAGTCCCTGTCATATAGGTAATAGAATATAGTCCCTGTCATATAGGTAATAGAATATAGTCCCTGTCATATAGGTAATAGAATATAGTCCCTGTCATATAGGTAATAGAATATAGTCCCTGTCATATAGGTAATAGAATATAGTCCCTGTCATATAGGTAATAGAATATAGTCCCTGTCATATAGGTAATAGAATATAGTCCCTGTCATATAGGTAATAGAATATAGTCCCTGTCATATAGGTAATAGAATATAGTCCCTGTCATATAGGTAATAGAATATAGTCCCTGTCATATAGGTAATAGAATATAGTCCCTGTCATATAGGTAATAGAATATAGTCCCTGTCATATAGGTAATAGAATATAGTCCCTGTCATATAGGTAATAGAATATAGTCCCTGTCATATAGGTAATAGAATATAGTCCCTGTCATATAGGTAATAGAATATAGTCCCTGTCATATAGGTAATAGAATATAGTCCCTGTCATATAGGTAATAGAATATAGTCCCTGTCATATAGGTAATAGAATATAGTCCCTGTCATATAGGTAATAGAATATAGTCCCTGTCATATAGGTAATAGAATATAGTCCCTGTCATATAGGTAATAGAATATAGTCCCTGTCATATAGGTAATAGAATATAGTCCCTGTCATATAGGTAATAGAATATAGTCCCTGTCATATAGGTAATAGAATATAGTCCCTGTCATATAGGTAATAGAATATAGTCCCTGTCATATAGGTAATAGAATATAGTCCCTGTCATATAGGTAATAGAATATAGTCCCTGTCATATAGGTAATAGAATATAGTCCCTGTCATATAGGTAATAGAATATAGTCCCTGTCATATAGGTAATAGAATATAGTCCCTGTCATATAGGTAATAGAATATAGTCCCTGTCATATAGGTAATAGAATATAGTCCCTGTCATATAGGTAATAGAATATAGTCCCTGTCATATAGGTAATAGAATATAGTCCCTGTCATATAGGTAATAGAATATAGTCCCTGTCATATAGGTAATAGAATATAGTCCCTGTCATATAGGTAATAGAATATAGTCCCTGTCATATAGGTAATAGAATATAGTCCCTGTCATATAGGTAATAGAATATAGTCCCTGTCATATAGGTAATAGAATATAGTCCCTGTCATATAGGTAATAGAATATAGTCCCTGTCATATAGGTAATAGAATATAGTCCCTGTCATATAGGTAATAGAATATAGTCCCTGTCATATAGGTAATAGAATATAGTCCCTGTCATATAGGTAATAGAATATAGTCCCTGTCATATAGGTAATAGAATATAGTCCCTGTCATATAGGTAATAGAATATAGTCCCTGTCATATAGGTAATAGAATATAGTCCCTGTCATATAGGTAATAGAATATAGTCCCTGTCATATAGGTAATAGAATATAGTCCCTGTCATATAGGTAATAGAATATAGTCCCTGTCATATAGGTAATAGAATATAGTCCCTGTCATATAGGTAATAGAATATAGTCCCTGTCATATAGGTAATAGAATATAGTCCCTGTCATATAGGTAATAGAATATAGTCCCTGTCATATAGGTAATAGAATATAGTCCCTGTCATATAGGTAATAGAATATAGTCCCTGTCATATAGGTAATAGAATATAGTCCCTGTCATATAGGTAATAGAATATAGTCCCTGTCATATAGGTAATAGAATATAGTCCCTGTCATATAGGTAATAGAATATAGTCCCTGTCATATAGGTAATAGAATATAGTCCCTGTCATATAGGTAATAGAATATAGTCCCTGTCATATAGGTAATAGAATATAGTCCCTGTCATATAGGTAATAGAATATAGTCCCTGTCATATAGGTAATAGAATATAGTCCCTGTCATATAGGTAATAGAATATAGTCCCTGTCATATAGGTAATAGAATATAGTCCCTGTCATATAGGTAATAGAATATAGTCCCTGTCATATAGGTAATAGAATATAGTCCCTGTCATATAGGTAATAGAATATAGTCCCTGTCATATAGGTAATAGAATATAGTCCCTGTCATATAGGTAATAGAATATAGTCCCTGTCATATAGGTAATAGAATATAGTCCCTGTCATATAGGTAATAGAATATAGTCCCTGTCATATAGGTAATAGAATATAGTCCCTGTCATATAGGTAATAGAATATAGTCCCTGTCATATAGGTAATAGAATATAGTCCCTGTCATATAGGTAATAGAATATAGTCCCTGTCATATAGGTAATAGAATATAGTCCCTGTCATATAGGTAATAGAATATAGTCCCTGTCATATAGGTAATAGAATATAGTCCCTGTCATATAGGTAATAGAATATAGTCCCTGTCATATAGGTAATAGAATATAGTCCCTGTCATATAGGTAATAGAATATAGTCCCTGTCATATAGGTAATAGAATATAGTCCCTGTCATATAGGTAATAGAATATAGTCCCTGTCATATAGGTAATAGAATATAGTCCCTGTCATATAGGTAATAGAATATAGTCCCTGTCATATAGGTAATAGAATATAGTCCCTGTCATATAGGTAATAGAATATAGTCCCTGTCATATAGGTAATAGAATATAGTCCCTGTCATATAGGTAATAGAATATAGTCCCTGTCATATAGGTAATAGAATATAGTCCCTGTCATATAGGTAATAGAATATAGTCCCTGTCATATAGGTAATAGAATATAGTCCCTGTCATATAGGTAATAGAATATAGTCCCTGTCATATAGGTAATAGAATATAGTCCCTGTCATATAGGTAATAGAATATAGTCCCTGTCATATAGGTAATAGAATATAGTCCCTGTCATATAGGTAATAGAATATAGTCCCTGTCATATAGGTAATAGAATATAGTCCCTGTCATATAGGTAATAGAATATAGTCCCTGTCATATAGGTAATAGAATATAGTCCCTGTCATATAGGTAATAGAATATAGTCCCTGTCATATAGGTAATAGAATATAGTCCCTGTCATATAGGTAATAGAATATAGTCCCTGTCATATAGGTAATAGAATATAGTCCCTGTCATATAGGTAATAGAATATAGTCCCTGTCATATAGGTAATAGAATATAGTCCCTGTCATATAGGTAATAGAATATAGTCCCTGTCATATAGGTAATAGAATATAGTCCCTGTCATATAGGTAATAGAATATAGTCCCTGTCATATAGGTAATAGAATATAGTCCCTGTCATATAGGTAATAGAATATAGTCCCTGTCATATAGGTAATAGAATATAGTCCCTGTCATATAGGTAATAGAATATAGTCCCTGTCATATAGGTAATAGAATATAGTCCCTGTCATATAGGTAATAGAATATAGTCCCTGTCATATAGGTAATAGAATATAGTCCCTGTCATATAGGTAATAGAATATAGTCCCTGTCATATAGGTAATAGAATATAGTCCCTGTCATATAGGTAATAGAATATAGTCCCTGTCATATAGGTAATAGAATATAGTCCCTGTCATATAGGTAATAGAATATAGTCCCTGTCATATAGGTAATAGAATATAGTCCCTGTCATATAGGTAATAGAATATAGTCCCTGTCATATAGGTAATAGAATATAGTCCCTGTCATATAGGTAATAGAATATAGTCCCTGTCATATAGGTAATAGAATATAGTCCCTGTCATATAGGTAATAGAATATAGTCCCTGTCATATAGGTAATAGAATATAGTCCCTGTCATATAGGTAATAGAATATAGTCCCTGTCATATAGGTAATAGAATATAGTCCCTGTCATATAGGTAATAGAATATAGTCCCTGTCATATAGGTAATAGAATATAGTCCCTGTCATATAGGTAATAGAATATAGTCCCTGTCATATAGGTAATAGAATATAGTCCCTGTCATATAGGTAATAGAATATAGTCCCTGTCATATAGGTAATAGAATATAGTCCCTGTCATATAGGTAATAGAATATAGTCCCTGTCATATAGGTAATAGAATATAGTCCCTGTCATATAGGTAATAGAATATAGTCCCTGTCATATAGGTAATAGAATATAGTCCCTGTCATATAGGTAATAGAATATAGTCCCTGTCATATAGGTAATAGAATATAGTCCCTGTCATATAGGTAATAGAATATAGTCCCGGTCATATAGGTAATAGAATATAGTCCCTATCATATAGGTAATAGAATATAGTCCCTGTCATATATGTAATAGAATCTAGTCCCTGTCATATAGGTAATAGAATTCATAGAATCAACTGGTCATTCTTTCTGGTAAATACATACTTTCCTTGTTTAAAATGCTGGAAACAACTGTATTTTACATGAATTCTGAGAGGGTTCATATAAATCATTGTTACTTATAGTACGCCATGTTATTTGTATCATTGTTACTTGTAGTACGTCATTGTTGTATATATCATTGTTACTTATGGTACGTCATTGTTATATATATCATTGTTACTTGTAGTACTTCATTGTTATATATATCATTATTACTGGTAGTACGCCATTGTTATATATATCATTATTATTTGTAGTACGCCATTGTTATATATATCATTATTACTTGTAGTACGCCTTTGTTATATATATCATTATTATTTGTAGTACGCCATTGTTATACATGTATATATCATTGTTACTTGTAGTAAGTCATTGTTATATATATCATTGTTACTTGTAGTACGTCATTGTTATATATATCATTGTTACTTGTAGTACGCCATTGTTATATATATCATTGTTACTTGTAGTAAGTCATTGCTGTATATATCATTATTACTTGTAGTACGCCATTGTTATATATATCATTATTATTTGTAGTACGCCATTGTTATATATATCATTATTACTTGTAGTACGCCATTGTCGTGATCCTTTTGATGATTGTCCAGATTGCCGGAATAGCGCTGTTTGCTTCCTTTAAGGGCAAGGTGAGTAGTTTATACCTTCTCAAGACAAATTGTGCCACATTTTCCAAAATGTCAACATATGTCACTTAAAAAATATACTTGGATGTGTTGTATGTGTGCTTCCCAAAAGTAAATAGTGCAATTTGATATTTCAAAACCTTATTTTTGGGTTGGTATTTTATACATGTATATACTATACAGGTATATGTAGTACTTGGTGTTTATACGAGACGTTCTGGTGTCCGGTACAGTATGTACTCTGGTAACTCCATCAGACAAATGACCTGGTAAAACCTGTGTAGACTTTGGTCCCATACCGAGTTATTGACAAGTATCAGGTTGTTTACATCAATATATGAAAAGGGAACATCGATATTTCTGTCAAGGTACAAGGTACAAGACACTTTATTTTTGTCGTATATATGTAACAAGAAACATTAGCTCTGAAAAGCTATTCTTACAACAGAACATATACAAATATCACAGTGGGAAAACGAAACAATATTGAAATAAAAAGTATACAAACATGCAGAAAAAAGAACAAGCTCATAAAACAGCACACACAAAGATATACCATATTGACAAATATTCATTAATAATATAACACTATGAGATTTTATTTGATTAAGATATCGGAATGTGACTGAGTAAAAATGTTTAGTTACAATTTATAAATAATCATCAAAAAATTAAATATTTGTAAAATACAATTGAGAATGTTAAGATCCCGATTTCTTATGTAAATACAGTAAAGTATTTTAGCTGAGAGGACAGGTGATCGGTAATCCCCTCCTACCAGGTTCTCTGATAATGAGCAATATTAAAAGCACACATAAAGCATACAGAAATTAAAGCTGATACAAATTAAATGTACAATGAATTTAAACAGAAAAAACATTTAAAGCACATTTAAACATAATAAAAAACAGTGGACAGGACAAATAATAATTCAGCAGACAGTTTTAAACAGATAGTGCCGGTACAAATGATACCACTCCAAGTGTGATTCAGCCTCCGGAATTCTGGAAAATATTCACATTTCCGTAATACATTTGGTAGGCTGTTCCACATCCGGGCTGCCCCAAACGAGAATGATTTTTGTCCTTAGGTAGCAGAGTACAGTAGAAATGGCTTGACCCTAAAAATAAAGGGCATGTCTCGGATAAACATGGATAGCGGATTCATCCTGCACAACACACCTACATATATATACATATTTATAAACTACCATTTGAATACAGTCTTTTTAGAAGAATGAATATTTTTTCAAAAAGTGATTTCCCCAGATTTAGGACTTGTGAAAACCATGGCTACCACATCAAAACATGCAAAAAAATCATGATTTTTAACCCAAAATTTGACCCACGCAAGTAGTATTTTTTTTCTTAAAATCTGTCTTAAATTAATTATCACCTACTCGGTCACAGATACTCACGTTTTAGCATAGGTCGTCAAGCTAGATTTTTCACAATATTTACACATGTGCTGAGTACAAAAATAGACTACATGAAAAGCTAGCTTTTGTTGTGTAGACACAGATGCGTAAATGGTCAAAAATGTAGTCTCAAACCAAATTCGATTTTTTTTAAAATGTGAAGCCCACATAGTCCACTTCAACATGTATATGCCAATTTTAGAGCTGAGTGTTTTTTTTTTAACTTTTGATACATGTAATATTACAGGGGTTATTCATTGTACAAAAATATCACCCATGGCCACCGTACGCTACTGTACACTGCTACCTTACTTACTAGAGTTTACTGCTGGGATATTTACTGTCTTTTCATTCCTGAAAGTGTAATACGTCTTTTAGATGTATTAAATCCTGTATATTTTCAGGAGACATTTTTTGTACAATCTTAAATACTTCACATCCCATACTCTTAAGTCTATTTACATGTAAAACAGTGGTATTGAAGAACTTTAAAAGATGATTAAAAGATGAAACATAGTCGGACTCCACAAATCTCAGCGCACGCTCCTGGATCTTTTCCATCTTTTTCACACTTTTCATACTAGTAAAATGCCATACCAGGGGACAGAAGTTAAAGTTTGAAATTATAAAAGAATTGTTAATAAATGGTTTTCCCTGCTTGATTAAAAATCGTCCAATTTAAAAAAAACCACATTTAGTTATCTGGAAGCTTTCACACAGATATCAGTGACGTATATCAAAATTTAAACTGGAATCAATTTTTATTTCTGGTAATTTCACTGTTTTTTTCTGATTTGGTCGTTACATCGGGGAATTATGACGTCGAAATGACATCTATGACGTCATAAGGTACTTTTTTTAGAGATGGACATAAACATTGAGGCATTTGTTAAAGATGGCTGTGGTATTGAAAAGTTGAGCCAAAAAAATCATATTAATTTTATAATTTCAACTGATTTCTTGCAAAGAGTCTGAAATTTATCTGGATTTGCCCTTATGTGATTATTTTGAAACCAATTTACTAAATTACAAAAGTCAAACTAGACATTTCTTTAATTTTGAGGATCTTTTGTCCCATCCTAGCAGACACAGGATATTCCACTCAGTACAGTTGTAGAATCAAACGTCAACATATAATCTTTATTTATGTTCACAGATAAATAGCTCTTTCTCGGAGGAGGCTACTAAGGTGTTGAAAGATAATTATAATGCAGCAAGTCCAACCGACGAAACGAAAAAGGTTAAAGCCGCATTCGATCGGATGTTCCAAACAGTAAGTATAACCGGCGGCATGATCAGAATTTGAATACATATGAGGTAACCTGGTGTATAACTGCTATTTGGAATTCGTACGTCATTCACCATATTTATTTTAAGTGATGTTTAAATAAAGGTTATTTTTAACACCGATAAATAAGTACATGTAGGAAAATCTGCACAATCATAAAGGTTCCTTGAGATTTATTGATGGAATGTTGCATGCATGTGTAAGTAAAGCTGATAGGGTGATTAGAGTCTGAATACCGATGAAAGTAACATTAATCCTAAGTCGTTAAACAGGACGAAGAGAGACTGTACAAACATAAAGTTACTGAGGTTGATTGATTGATTAATTTTATACATTTACCTCTATCATGATTTATAATCTATCTTCTAATGTTTGGATTGATATATAAACCTCTATCATGATTTATAATCTATCTACTGATGTTTGGATTGAAATATATACTAGATCATAAATCTAGTCACAACAAGCTGAATGATTTTGTCAAACATATATTTTTTGTTGTAATGCAACATTTTTTTTAAATAGTTTGAGTGCTGCGGGATCAGCAACTACTCGGACATTTCACCGGGTGGCACCACTCTACCACTTGTGTGCTGTCAGACGTCCGCAACCACGCCTCCTATATGTTTGCCTGCTAATGCTAACGAAGTAAGTAAACGTGAAACCAACATATTACATCGTCAATAAACAGTACCACATCGTCAATAAACTGTACCGCATCGTCAATAAACAATACCACATCGTCAATAAACAGTACCACATCGTCAATCAACAGTGACACATCGTCAATAAACAGTAACACACCATCAATAAACAGTACCACATCGTCAATAAACAGTACCACATCGTGAATCAATAAACAGTACCACATCGTCAATAAACAGTATCTCATCGTCAATAAACAGTACCACATCGTCAATAAGCAGTGACACATCGTCAATAAACAGTCCCACATCGTCAATAAACAGTACCACATCGTCAATAAACAGTGACACATCGTCAATAAACAGTACCACCTCGTCAATAAACAGTACCACATCGTCAATCAACAGTGACACATCGTCAATAAACAGTGACACAC